TTTTTAGACTTTTTGTTTTTTATTATTAAAAGCTCATCGGCAATTTGTGCACCATTTTTTAAAAAGCTAGACTCTTCACAATTCAGCCCAGTCAACTGTCAATTAGGGTTTTCACAATTAATTAATTATAATTAAAAGTGTCAGTAAATCTTCCTACCAAAAGTGTCAATCTGTCAGTTCACTACAACTTTGGAGTTTTAGTTTTTATAGAAACTGTTTTTTGCCCAAACTAAAGTTATATTTCAAAAGGCTGTTAATACTAAAGTAAACTTGAGATAAACATTAAACATTTCTAAAAATTTGGGTTTAAACAACTAAAAGTCTTTAGCCATTGTGTTTTAGTTCAGTAATTGCTTACAATGAATGGCTTTCAAATAAAACTTACCGGAAAACAATGAAAATTAACTCACAATCCCAACTTCATAATTAGGTTAAGGTAGTTATAAAAGTCAAACCAAGTTTTTCCGATTAACCCAGGTTTTCTCTTTTCTGCAACAAAACTTTAAGTATAAATAGAGAAACTAAACTGTTTATCATCCATCCCATACTTTAATTTTACTTTTATTGTCGACTGAACACAAGTTCAAGACACAAGAAAATGAAGTTTCTTCTCAGTTTTCTTCTCCTTTCAGTGATGATCGCCTCAACTTTGTCAATCTCTTCTTATGGAGGTTGGGGCTATCAGAGTAGCGGTCATGGAGGCTGGGGAAATTACGGAGGTAAAGATGACAGTTTTTGAATACTTTTGCCTCATTTTTAAGCTTTCAGGGTATGGAGGAAATTATGGCTACAGCAGCGGTTACGGGGGAAGTCATGGAGGAAGTGGAATTCGAGTGATTCTTACTGGTGGTGGTAGCGGTGGTCATGGCGGTGGATACCGAAACTACGGTGGTGGTAATTATAAAAAGTCTGTAGATCATTTTATAGTTTTTACATTAAAACTGTAGGCTCTTATGGAGGATCTCACAGTGGTGGTGGTGGTGGCGGCGGTGGCAGTTCTTATTATGGAGGAGGAAGTAAATCACTGAAAAACTGAGTATTTTAAAATAATAATAACTTTTGTTTGTACTGAGCAGGCAACAATCATAGTGGCAAAAACGACGACGACAACTACGGGAGTAATAACAACTACTGAAGAAGCAAACTGTAGCATCAGTGAGACAGTTTGCCCTACTCAGCTGGAAACGGTTTTATTTTGTGTCACTTTTTCACTTTTATTGAACTACTTGTGTACTTACAGACCAGTATGATTTTAAACCTATAAATATAAAATTTTTAATAAAAAATCTTTAACTGATCATTAGCAACTGCCACCCAGTAATTAGCCTACATTTGGCTGCAATGACTAAACTGCACATTAACGTCAACAACGGCGCTAATTTGAACATAAACCCCTTTTTTATTCTCTATTAGCAATTTTGCAATTATTTTCGATTTTATAGAGTGGTAGAACCACACCACCCTTCAGCAAACATGTTTGCTTTCACACTCTTTTTATTCTAAACGCATCCAAGCGTCAGCAGTTTGCATATAATTTAGCCCCTTTCTGGCACACATATTCAGCCTGTCAGAGACAGTGCCTCTTTGTGTCACACTGACAAAAAAGCTAATTTCTCTTTTCCTACTTTTGGTTAAGATAAAAAAATTGCTTGCTGACCAAAACTTTGGTGTTTCCCTTTAGCTCACTCTGTAAGCTGCAAACCATTAGCAAGAGTTGGAGATTCTGTGATTGCCTTTGCCGCTTTTCTTAGCTGCATTCAATGCACTCAATAAATTATTTCTTTTTTGGTTTCTTTCTTATAACTGAGCATTTTGGCCGTTTGCTGTTTCTTTTTCTCATGTCACTGAAGCATAATTTTTCTTCTAGTCTCCCAATGACTGTCGCATTCCTTTGTCGGCTTCATTTTTGCATTCTAGCATTCTGGACTAAAATTCGTCTAGTCGTTTTGGCTACTTACTGGTCAGAAAAGTTTCCCTTTTCATTTAGAGAAGTCATTTGCAATCGTTTAGCTCTTTATGTTTAGCCTCGTTTCAATTGGCTGGCCAACTCTCTTTTATGTTTTGACTGCTACTTTTATTTTTCTTCCTTGTCATAGCCTTTGTTTGCCCTTTTTTAAATGGTCGTCATTTTGGCAAAAATATATTACATTTATTTTTAATATTAGCCCTTTTTATTGTTTGGCAAGGAACAATTGGCGGCATAATTTAGCCATTTCACTACAGCGATGTTTGTGCGTTGCTTTTGTCTGCACTATTAAATTATTGTTATTAGATTATTACTATTTTAACTAGGTTGATGATTACTTTTCTTACATTAATTTCAGAAAATAACAAAAAAAATTTAAATAAAAACAAAAAAACAAAAAATTTTGCAACTGAACTTATTTAAAAATGAATGATAAAGTTTTACTTTTACAGTTTCATCATTAAAAAGTTCAATGTAGATATTTATCTTTTAAAAACATTTACTAAATTACAGTCAGTTTTATGTTTAAAGCTTTTCAACGTTTTTAAGTTATTCATTAAACATTCTTTACTAAAAAATATATAAATTAAATCAAATTGGAACCGGAAAGTAAAATGACCTTGAGTTGAGCGCTTTTATTTTTTTTGTTTTTACGCATGCAAATGTGCTTGTATGTGCATTGATTAAACTGCTTTAGTGTAGTAAAAGCTGTAAAGTAATACTAAACTCTGCACCCTTCATTACTACATTTTGTTTTTATTTTATTACCCTTTATCTCATCTACTTCTTTATGTTTGGGTGGCAGTCTAACTTTAAAAGTTTTTTGTTTTTATTTTTTTCTTGATGTTTCTAGCATTCATTTGGTGTCAGAAAGTTGTATGTGGCTGCTGAAAAATAAATGACTCGAGTTGAACTTGAGACAGCCTTCTTTTTTGTGCTTTTATTCTTATTTTCTCTCTCTCTCTCTCTCTCTTGATTATCTTTTTTTCAACAGTGGGTGTAATAGTGTTAAGAAACAATCATCAATTGTAAGAACTCTTTTCTGTGAATTTCCGAGTGGCAGACAAAGACAGCAATTAGGCAATCGTTTTTGTTGTTTCCACTGTAAATGACCATCTTCATTTGAAAAAGTATCTTTTGGCACAGTTACCCTAACTGCCAGTGAGTCAGTCATTTTGCCGCCTTGGCTGAAATCAGAAACACTAACGGAATTCATGGGTTGTTTGACTGATCCATTAGACTGATTGAGATTTGACTGTTTTTATTTCTATACTTTTTTAACAAAAAAAATCGAGCAAACAACTTGTTTTAATTAATAAAATTTATTCAGTTTTAAATCCAATTTTTGACACAATTTAAATCTACCGGATTTTAAATAAAAATGTTATTGTTAAACTGTATAAGTTATTAGATAGTTTAAATTATTAAAAAGATTAATAAATATATCTAGTTTAAAACAAAAAAATACAAAGTAGATAACTTTTTAAATAAAATGAAAAAAAGAATTCAATTACCACTATTGTTGCCTCTTCAACTGTTACTTTACCCCAAATAAGGAAAAAAATGTAAGCACAAGTGGTAAGATAATACCCGAACAAATGGACGGTCGGCACTTTAGAATCACTTGAGCTACCAAAAAAATAAGGAAAAAAGTTAAGAATTTCAATTTAAATTTTTGTATTGCCGCTTTTCTACCCTTCATCTTTTTTCAAACTCACTAACGTCTCAATTTGTTAAGTTTTTGCTGCTCAAACTTCTTTGCATTGCTTTTCCCTTTACCCATCGCATTCTTAGTGCCTTTTCTCATTTTATTTTAACTTTTTTCTTTCTATTTTGTAATCATACATTTGGGGCTCAATTTTTAACCCTCTTTGGGCCGTTTTATTTCTATTCTTTACCAGCACAGGCGATCCACGATTTTTGTGTTAGCATTTTCAGCTTTTGGCTATTTGCTCTTTTTTATTTATTTATTTTTTTCTACATTTTATATTCTCTTACTTGCTTTTATGTGCCCATTCAATCGACCATCCAATTGCTCGTTTTCCTCTGTTCAAAGTGTGTGCTAGATGTGTGGCTATCGATACGATTTGTATGTGTGTGCTTGAACTATTATAAAGTGACTATCAAAGTAAAGTGGCGGCAATGGGAAACAAAAATTTAACTTACTGTACACTAGATGATTTGCAATGATAAAGGAAAAGAAAATAACAAAATATAAGTGAGGGAAGCCATAAGAGTAGGGGAGTAAAAATGGAAACAACAATAATACTAAATAGTCGTACTTGATTGATTCTGAAAAATCAAAGAACCAAAGGCAAATGAAACAAATATGTGACAGATTTTTTAATGTTAAACAAAATCTAAAATTTTGATATTAAAAACTCAGTTTTAAATTAAATTTTTTATATTTTGCATAACACGCAATACTGCATTGTTTTTTATAGTAGTTATAATCTATCATGCACTAATTTTTCATTATTATGAAAATAAAATAGAAACAAAATGTACATCATATTTTCTGCAAAAACATTAATAAATATCATCATTGGCGATAAATCATCACGCTTATTTCGCCTTGATTTTTACTTTTTTTCTTTTTTACCACTGCAGTGTTTGCCGGATGTACCGGAATCGCACTGCAGTAAACTCACTAACACACTCATTCACACATACAAATAAACATTTTTGGCAAAATAATATTTGAAATATAGTGCTGTATTTCATATTTAAAATTTTCAGAATAGAAAGAAAAATATCACAGATAGCCAGTAAATGAGAAAGTCAAACTTTTGAAGCAACATTTGCATGACGTTCCATTTCCGTCTCGTTTGGTTTGGTTTTGCTTGTTTGAGACATCAACAACTGAATAGCTGATTAAACTTTTTTTACACAAAACAGTAGAAAAAGTTAGTTTCATTGTTGGTTCTCTTTTGACTTTTTATCAAAACAATGATTTTGATTTTGAATAAATTAAAGGAAAACCAATTGACGGGCAAACCAAAAACAGAAAAACTCTGTCTAGTTACATCAAAACTGAATTATGACCAGTCAAGTTGATACGGCAGATATCTCAAAATGTTTGAGTGCAATCAACAATCAGCAAAGAAAATTGATGCCCAGTGAGATGATTATTATAACTCGTTACTGTTCAATAAAGGTTATAACCAAACAGACAAAAAGAGAAAAATCAGATCACCAAGATACTGAACTGCCTTGCATTCTGAATGCAAGTGCCAACAAATTGGAAAGCAATTGCACATTGATGCGGAAACTGACAAGGTCAAATTGAAGCAGACAGTCGACATGCTAATTTTGCGTACATTTGAAGATAGCAAAAAAAGCATATACCTACCCCCGTTTCCCCTAAGCTACGGTCGAATTAGAATTTTTCTAGATAAAAAATGAGAATAAAATTTCTATTGATTTAATAAAAAACAAAAAAAGGACCAAACGATACCAGACGGCCATCAGATGCTAACGCTCTCAATTGAATAATAATGCATAAAAAAGAGAAAGAGGGCTTTGCTATTTAAATGCGACCAATCGATCAGTCAATCGATCACAACGCACTGTACACACAGTGCCCAGCTGAGGTATTTGGTTCCTGACGTTTTGTACTCTTTTGTTCTTTTTTGAACAAGGAATAAAAATGAAACATAATATATTCAGAATTTATTTTCCATTTAGGTTTTCATTTGAAAAGGTCAAAAATTTGAAATGCTTAACAAATGCTTTAAAAACGTTTAAGCAACTGTCAAAATCGATTATCACTTTGCAAACTAGTTGTACTTTTCCGTCAAGTACTTAAATTCATATTTAAATCAAACAGTATTTTTTAGTTGCCTTTTTCTTGCTGCATTCTTCTGTTCTTTGGTGTGTATTTTCAGTTTTCTATTAAAATCCGTTTTAAAATAATATTTACATTTCGATTTGATGACATGCCAGAGCAATCTTGTGAGTGCGCGCACCAATGTTACTCCGTTCACATATACATGAGAAAAAATCTCAAAATG